CACGAAAGGGAGTGGCACAAGTGTCGATCAACTGGGAATGGGGTGGGGAAACACAATTGTGCGGTGTCTGGGGCGGGAAAGGCGGGAATGAGGGTATCAATGCAGCGGATGTGTAGACTGGACACGTGGCATTGTCACAGCTCAACAATTACCTCCCCACAGACCCCTCACTGCCATTATTAGTAACTTTGGTACCTCCTGGAAGCAAGAGAGGGCGCTCAACCTGCCCTGGTAGAGGCTGCCTGCCATGAGCGCCGCTGCGCCGTCGCCCCCCAAAGTGCCGCGTCATTCCACACACATTTCCCCGAATGGAATGCACACTGGACCTCCTCTTGCCTTCTATTACGCTTCATAAACACATTGAAGCGCTGCTGATGCCCTTCCACAAGTCTCCGTGCCACCCACCCGTAGCCATTGCACCGCTGCCATGAGTGACGCCCCGCCCCTGCAGCGGCACATGGCAGGCTGCTAACCTGTGCCAGCAGCCGTTGCAGCGCGGCGCCGCCCTGCCAGAGTCGTCTACACTGCTAATGAACATGTGGGCACGCTTGCATTGCCAAAAGGCCGCGGCTGCCGCCATGCCGCGAAAGAGGTGGCGCGAGCCGGCCGGCGCAGGGCCTGCTGTTGCTCTCAAACAACTCTCCGTATGCTATAAGGTGGGAGAGGAAGCTTACAACGCGAAAAACGATGCAGACATGGCTGAGATCAGGCCACATGTCGTTTCCCTGCTGGCCTGATCGTGCCGGGGCCCTGGCGGCGGCGGCGCGCCATGCAGCGGCGCGCCATGCGGCGCCACAGCGGTGCAGGGACACGGCGGGTGAAGGTACACAAAGCGAGGGGACGCTGAACAGGGGTCGTGCGCGACTCTATGGCTTGCTGGAGGATGCTTGGCCGCTGTGCCTGGCTGGTGATGGATCACATGCTACACTTCCCGGCCGTGTACCTTCAGCCAGATGCCTTTGGGCGGCGCCAGCGTCACGCCTGCACCCAAGCCACAGCAGCCAACTTCAGTCTCGGGCGGTGCGTCATGGCTAGCAGTGCAGGCGAGCAACGGCTCCTCGTCCTCCTGTGGCCGATCGGAAGCCCGGGCAGCTTTCACACTCACTGCTGCGCAGGTCGAGCGGCCCGGTGTGGCGCTCGGCGTCGAGGCGCAGCTCAAAGCGCTGGAAGATGCGGGCCAGGCACAGCACGCCCTCCTCCAGCGCAAACCTGCGCGGCGAGCGAGGCGCAGAAGAGCAGGGGCAGGGAGCTGTCACCGAGATGGTAGGGTGCAGAGCGGCGGTGCAGTGTCACCACAGAGAGGCAGGAAGCCGGGCGGGCACCGCGTGGCAGCGGGCAGCAGAGCAGGGAAGACTGCATGAGCGGATGCTGCAACCCACCGCCAGCCCACGCATCTGCGGGGCCCCAGGCCAAAGGGGAAGTACGCTCCAGGGTGGTGGCTGGCCGCCTCGTCTGGCAGGAAGCGTGCGGGCCTGGAGGCAGCGTGAGGCAGGTGGTAGGAGTCGGTTAAGGTCGGGCGGCGTATCCAGCACCTGGACCAGCCGCAGGCTGCCGGTGCCTGCGCACACATACCTGAATTCCTCCGGAGCTTCCCAATAACGAGGATCCCTGTGCAGCGTCCAGATGTTGAACATGACACGGCAGTTGTCTGCAGGGGGCAGGGTGGAAAGCACCCAACCAGCTGCTGAGGATAGCGCCCCCCGCCCGCCGGAGCGGCAGCACTCACTCACACATCAACTGCACGCAGGCGGCGCCGCACCGTGACCCAATGCACCCCAGCGGCAGCAGCTCGCCTGGAATGAACACGCTGGTGGGCCCCGCTGCTGGCGTGGCCAGGCTCCTGCGGCTGCCGCCAGTGAGGTCCAGGTCTACGCCTCCATGCCCCGCCTCTCGCAACTGGGACAAGCCACAGCGTGACAGGAAGCAGGTGAGGAGGTGCCACTCATGCAGGCTGCCGTGCCAGCCAGCCCAGCATCAGCAACGTGCAGGGCTGAAGTCCCTGCCCACGCGCCAGCTCACCAGGACAATCAGGGAAGAGACTGGCGGGTAGAGGCGCATAGACTCCTGGAACGCTGCCTCTGCAGCAAAAGGAGCACCAGGATTTGCAACCAAAATTGCAGGAGTGTAGGTGTCGCAGCAGCAAGGAACATGCCCTGTG